TTAAATCAGGCAAGTTTGTGTATGAAAGCGTGATTTTTTTCTTCATTTTTTCATATAAAATTCCATGTTGATCAAAATTTTTTATTAGTGAGTGACACTTGACCCCCTGTAGATCTGCAATGTCCTGCGACTGTTATATGGTGATATCTTTGACAGCCAAATGCCATCACTCATCCCTGGAATCAAAGCGGACTTCTTTGCATTTCTTTCAGAAAGGGTCGACAAGAAAAAAGCAATAAAACTGGCTGGATTTTGGTATTTTTTGCATAGATTAATCATTTTTCGAAATTTCTTTTTCTTGGTGATTATTAATTGGTTAACTGATTTTATATTTTTAAATGGGGGGTAGATGACTGGGTCTTTGCCCAATCAGTCTTCTGCCCTAGGTCAAAACGTTTGTTTGTGAGTGGGTTGCTCTTTGTAGCTCAAAATTAGCTTGGAAATTTTCCAAAATTCTTTGAAACTGGTTTAGACCCCTTTGAAATGGTTTCAAAATAGTTTAGAAACTGGCCAGGAGTTTAGAAAGTCAGCTCTAGGTGTACTTTGACAAAACTGCAACCCAGGTTGCAACCTCCTCAGTTGCAGGATTTCATATCAGTTGCAGACACCAACTTTACTCTAGTGGAACAGCAATCATTGCACAGCATCAACTCTTGTCAACAATTAATGCTCATATGGAAACAGCCAAGTCTGATCTGAGGGGAAGTGAGGGAAAATTTTTTGTCTGTCCACCTTATAAAAGCCTTCCAACTTGTTTTCACCTTACCTGTGGAGAAAATTCTACAGTTATGAGGCGTGTGAAAGCACTTGTTGACATGTTTGTGATGGGAAATTTTTATTAAATCTGATACATGTTATTATTATCATCAGATTTATTATTCATAAGGAACTATAATTGATAATTAGGAAAAATAATTTATTCTCATGAACTCCAGAGATCTGGTAGACACATTATTAAAAGTTTCATTTTTGCATGGCCTTGGTATCATTACTTGAGTGATGCAATTGTTTGTTTACATCAAATGTATTGAATAATAATCATGACCATCATGAATATTTGATGGATGGAGGCATTCACATAGAAAGAAAAGATTAAAAAAGATAAGTTTTTTATCCAACCAAGATATATAATTATTTATATTTAAAAAATAATTATTTTATTCCATTATCCCTAATAAACCATTTGTTTCTTTAGCATTAGTGACCAAATCAATTACACAAGTGGTAGTCAATTTAAATGGTATTTTTTTAAAGTCTTTTTTGAATTAATATTATTCGATAATTATCTTTTATTATTTTTTCCAATCTTTTAGAATTATTTTCTTTTTATTCATTTGTGTAAGCATTCAAATAATTAATTCACAGATTAACAAACAGGTAATTTAATTGTTATAATTATAAAAAGTTATCTTTGTTTTAATTTTGATTCTTTAAATGATAAGATTACAATTCTTAAAAATACAAATATATATCATATGGTAATAAATAAATAAATTAATACACAATCTCTATATTGTATGGGAGCTTATAGACTTCTCAGAAAGTACAATTGTAATTTAAGATAACTTCCTTAGATGTAATATAAAGATAATAAATAATATGGGGCATGCTGCAACAAAACCAGACAAAGTGAACATTGTTGTTACCAAAATTTCAGGGATCAATAGTGTTTGCTTAACATCACAATATAATGTAATCATGATATTTGTCTAGATAAAAATAGTTAATATGAAGCTAATTTACTATGAGATGATAATTAGGTAATTACCATCCCAAGTTATAAAATTTACATCAGATCCACCATGCAAGTTAAAAAAAACAATACTGTAAAATCTTGAATTACTATTAATTAGTATTTAATCATCATAAAATAGCTCTAGAATTTTGTAAACAAAGTTTAGAAATTAATGTCATTAAATAGAGAAACCAGAGGATCATAAAGGTTAAGTTTTATGAAAATATTATATTAATATTAATCCAGCTTTAAGTTTTCTATGTTCAATTTTCTAAAAAAAATTACATCTAAAAATTATTAAATTCTGCAGCATTTGGCTTTCCTAGATCTGTTTCAGCTTATCTAATTCAGCCACAGCCTTCCTAATATCCAATTCTGCTATATAAGATCTTGATCTTTCTAGCCTCAATTTCGGCCTTTTCAGCTTCTGCCACAGCCTTCCTAATATCTAATTCTGCCAAGACTTTTGCTCTTCTTAAAGACTAGTGCCGTAAATTATGATGATGGTAGTAATTGTATTTACGGCATATAAAAAGTGGTTGCAATTACCTTTGCGACCATTTTTGCAACCATACTTTTTCCTTTTTTGGATTACAGCACTAGTCTTTAGCTCTTCTGGCCTCAATTTCAGCCTTTTCGGCATCTGCCTCAAATTTTCTTACTTTAGCTAATTTTAACCTTTTAGATAGATTTTCTTTATCATCATCTTTATTTGTGTTATTGTGACTTGGTGGTAATGAAGGAGACAAAGATGATGATGAAGGTGATGATGATGAAGGTGATGATGCTAGTTTAAAATAAAAAATTAACAATTATTTTTTAATCTGATGACCTGCATATTATGTTAGATTTTTCTACTAACCCTGTGATAAGGATTCATAAAACATAATTGCCTTGGGGTCAGCTACAACCTTATCTTTACTAAAGTTTAACACTTGTAAAGACCCCAAAGACATTGCTCTGGATAAAGCTACATACACATGTCCTATTTTGTAATATATGACAATTTTATATTAATAATAATTAAAAAAATTCTTAACAAAAATAACAAATAAATACAACCACTAGCAAAAACATTATTCAAATCAACTTTAAGCCGTTCCACAGTTTGGGCTTGGCTTTTGTGGATTGTTATTGCCCATGCAGGCAAAAGAGGGATCTATTATTCAATTAAATGTTAGCAATAATGTTCAATAAAGTATATGTAATTAATATATATATATATATACTTGTTTTCGACTTGCCAATAATACATCATCAGTTTCAATAGTCTCAATCAGATTCCACTCAGCTACACCAATGGTTTCCTCTCGGTTTTTAGTAAACTTAACAATTGGTAATAAATCCTCTTGGTCAAACTCTATGTGTTCATCTTCACCATTATAATATTTTTTTTTGGTGGTTTTTAAATAAAAACCAACAATGACACCTCTGCTCCCATTGACCAGATCTTTTCTGATATTTTTAATGAGCATTACTTGTGATCCACGTTTTAATTCCAATTCATGTAATGCTAAGCAATTATGCACCAGTTTCTGTATTTGACCATATCTTGGAGGATCATAATCAATGGAATAATATGTATATTTTTTCGTTTTTAACTTTTCTAAATGATAACTATTTACTTCATTTACTTTGGAGTTTGTTGGATATCTATTAAATATAATATTAATTATTATAATATTATTATCCATAATATACATGTAAATTTTTCAATGTATGTATATATTATAATATAGTTTCAACTTACAATTCAGTAACTAGAATTCCATCATCAGGATACTTTGGTGGATTTATTAATTTATTCATAATATCTGTTGTCTTCTGAGATACAAAACCCATTCTAATCTCATTTAACATTTCTACTAGGGCTAAAAGAAAAGAAATTTAATTAGGTAGGTCGTTTATTAAATATATGTATGTAGATAAATTTATTGCCGATAGCTATTTACCAGATTCTTTTTGTCTAAATACCACTGATAATTGTAACTTTACATTAATACATCGGTTCCATGAAGCTGCCTCAAAACAAAATTTGTAATTAACGCCATTAGAAGGAACAGGTGGTAGTTGCAAAAAATCACCCGAAAGAACAAGCTAAAATAGATGTTTGTTAAATTGATTTTTTTTATATTAAAATTAAAACCAAAAAAAGGTTTCATACTAAAATATTTCCAAATGGATCATTGTTTTTGTGAACGGATCTTGATATTGCTTCCAACTTGTCAAATAATTCACCATCAAGCATGGATACTATTTATGAAATCCGTTATACATTAACTTGTGCCAATAAATAAACATATGCACATATATAAATATATTAATTTACCTTCATCAACTATCAAAGCCTTAATGACTTTCCATCTAATGAAACTATTTTTTGAATAATTTATTTTTTGAATAAGTTTTTCCACAGGATCAGTTCCCAACCCCACACCAGCAAAAGAATGTAAGGTGATTCCATTTATATTAATAGCTGCTATTCCGGTTGTAGCTGTGACAGCTACTTTTTCGTCGCCATAAATATTTTTCAATGATGAGACTATCTTTGATAGTAAAAAACTTTTACCAGTCCCTAATACAATAATAGATATTATCATATCTTATAACACATGGTAATGGTAATGTAACAAATAAAAATATTGATAGGAATCATTTACCGCCCGCCCCCGTGAAAAAGGTATTTTTCTTTTGATAAATAATACTGTCAAAGATCGCCCCTTGTTCTTCTGTTAATTCTGACAAATCATCATTTGTTTTCCTAAGCAAGCAAAGAAAATCAAAATTTTTAATATAGCAACTAGAGTGACGACGAGTGGCGGGCGATAACCACCACCACCATCCTTAAAACACTTACCCTCTTTCAAAATCTTCTTCTTTTCCTTTGGTTCTTTTCTTATTTTTAATTGAGTGCATTTTAAAAGAAAAGTTTGTTTAATTGATCGACGCGTACACATTAATTATCCTATTGGTTTTTTTTTTGGTAGGACAGACGCGAATTGATTTTTTTTTTTTTTTTTTTTCTTGGAAAAACAATTTATTCTTTGACAGAGTCCAAGGTGACAAAACATGAGTGTTGTTGTTTGGTCTGGTTTGGGTCTCCTAAAGAAGAAGTGTTAATAACTAACCAGAGGTACTATTTTTTACTTGTATTGATATTTTTATTTTGGTTTATAAATATTTTAATTGGAAATCAAAACACGGAGCAGATCTTGCTGGGTAATTACAAGATTTTCATTGATAATATTTTACTTTTTGAATCAATATTAATATTACTATATAATCACAAGAAGATATCAAGGCAGCACACCATTTAAAAAGAGACATTTTGATATGCAATGTTTGATTATCAGAAATTTACAAGTGTTGAAGCACACACGCACGCTACCTTGAACACATACAGTCATTCACTCATTTCTCATGTACATAAGGCTAATCTGACCTGATTGATCAATGATACAATGATGCAATTAAATTTTCTGGGGTATTGCGTGGCTTTGGAGTTTACCAAGATTGCATCAATCGTTAACACATGGTAATGGTAATGTAACAAATAAAAATATTGATAGGAATCATTTACCGCCCGCCCCCGTGAAAAAGGTATTTTTCTTTTGATAAATAATACTGTCAAAGATCGCCCCTTGTTCTTCTGTTAATTCTGACAAATCATCATTTGTTTTCCTAAGCAAGCAAAGAAAATCAAAATTTTTAATATAGCAACTAGAGTGACGACGAGTGGCGGGCGATAACCACCACCACCATCCTTAAAACACTTACCCTCTTTCAAAATCTTCTTCTTTTCCTTTGGTTCTTTTCTTATTTTTAATTGAGTGCATTTTAAAAGAAAAGTTTGTTTAATTGATCGACGCGTACACATTAATTATCCTATTGGTTTTTTTTTTGGTAGGACAGCCGCGAATTGATTTTTTTTTTTTTTTTTTTTTTGAGTAGTTGTTGTGTCCACTCAGCAGCGCGGAGCATATCTTGCTGGGTAATTACAAGATTTTCATTGATAATATTTTACTTTTCATGATCAATAATAATATTATTATAAATATTATAATCACAAGATATCAAGGCAGCACACCGTTGAAAAAGAGACATTTCGAGTATGCAACGTTTGATTATCGGAAATTTACAGATGTTGAAGCACGCACGCACGCTGCCTTGAACACATTACAGTCATTCTCACATTCCTCGTGTACATAAGGCTAATCTGACCACGTGCCGC